TTAATAAAACAAGATTTCCTCAGCTCTCTGCAAAAAGATGCCCAAAAAACCCACTGTCCATCTCTAAATTAAGAGATTTCAGGAATTAAAGAGCTTTTTCTCAGGACTAGTGTTTAATTTTTTAAAAATGCCTCACATGGGGGCTGGAGCAATAGCACAGCGGGTAGGGTGTTTGCACGCGGTCGACCTGAGTTCGATTCCCAGCATCCCATATGGTCCCCCAAGCACCGCCAGGAGTAATTCCAGAGTGCAGAGCCAGGAGGAACCCCTGATCATAGGCTGGTTATGACCCAAAAAGCAAGAAAGAAAAAAAAGCCTTACAGCTGAAATCTGGGTTTTTTTAATATTCAACTATTTTTCAGACCTAAATGATTGTTTTTCCTCTTTTTTTTCTGCATTTGCGGGTACGGTGGCACCCCACGGCGCTCATAGTCAGTCCTGGATCTTAAGTATATATGTTTCTTTTACCTCAATTTCCTGGGAATCTGATGAACAAAACCATAATTTTAGTAATTTTTAAAAATAAAAGGAATATGTATGTAGTTACTTTTATACCTCAATGTTTTTTTTAAATAATCAAAGGTATTACTATAGTGATGATCTGAGTGTGTGTATATTATATATGTGTGTGAATATATATATATATATTTACATCACTGCAGTTTCTGTGTGTGTGCAAATATATATACCTACATCACTGCAGTTTCTTACTGTTCTGGGTCTTCCTCTTGAAACATTTGGTAGCATAAAGTCTATTCCTTTCACTAGAGTAAGACGGAAGTGACCAAGCAAATAGTGATGAGATGTTATTTTCTGTTCTCCTTTTCTCCCCAATCTCAGGAAAAACTGATAGACTCTCTTAGTAAAAAAATTAACCAAGTATACAAAGTGTGTATAGGAGATGCTGAGGTGGGCAGCCTCACCTCTGTTCAAAAGCTGGTGAAAGTCGAGTCTCGTTTGGTAGAGCTGAGTGACCTCATTGATTCCATCCCCCGAGAAAACGTGGAGGCAATCGAGAGGATAAAACAGAAAGAAAGGCGGCAAAAGTACAGTCAATGTCTTATTTGTTTGGGGGCTTCACCCAGAAGCTCTGAGGGTGGCAGGGGTAGGGGGTGGTGGTCTTGAGGGTGGGAGAGCCCCACGCAGGTTGGGGATCCACCCCATCCTCCTGCTTGAGAAGCATGAGCTTAGCCTGATGAGCTCTCTCAAGCTTAGTGTCTTACTTGATAAAAATGTAGTACAAGTCTTTATGAGACAGGTAGCTTGTTTTTGCACGCTTTCCACCAATATTAAACAAGTTTTTGTTCTATGGCAAAGACTGCAATACAGAGACATTGGGAGGGACCAAACCCTCCTCACAGAGCAATTACTTAGTGTGGGAAATATGTTCAGCATTAAACATTTTTTCTATTATATTGGCATTTTTAGCATCGCATTGTAACATGATGAAAATTTCACGTGTGCTGTTACAAATCAGCATGTTTACCCCTCTCCCCCCATCTTTCCCATTTCCCTCCCAGTCATCACTAATTTAGCCTAAAAGTTTCACTTAGTACACTGTTTTTATTTAGTACATCCATGTTTGGTGTCCCATGACTTGTAATCAGAGTGCAGAATGTTCGCTCATCAAATATTTCTAAGATTTCACCTTTGTAGTCAAACACCAGCGAGATGAGAAAGGAGTGTTGATTTCATGTACTTTAAAGACAGTCTTGTATTTAGGTATTTTATTACCCGACATTAAAGATGTGAACGTTTTTCACTTTGTGATTTATAGTTCAAAGGATAATTTTCCCCCTGACAGGTTGCGTGAAGAGAAACTGAAAGAAAAACAAAAACACCAGGAGGAAAGACTACGAGCTGCCCTGGAAAGAGCAGTGGCACAACCCAAGAAAAAGGTGTGTGTGGCTAGCAGGCCCAGCATCTAGGTACACAGCGCACTCTCCAACTCTGGTTCCCAAAGTGGGCGACACTACCCTAACCGGGAACACTGCAACGGTGGTGGTGGGGGACATGGGGGGAGGTGGTACATGCAGTCTGCTTGTTGTCATGGGTATAACTGGGTAAATAGCTCGAGGGGAGGGGGTGCACAAATAATCTATGCTTACCTTCTTCTTATCTATATTATGAAGTCTCAACTTATGTTGTCTTCTCAAGGGAAAAAGAATTATCGCCCTTCTGCAGGTACACGACTATGCAGCAAACCCAACAATTGAAACCATTATTTTCTTAACATATCCTTCTTTCTAGACTAGAAGGGAATCTTGTGATCCCTGATTCCCCTGTGGCCACTCAATAAATCTTACTGAATTAACAGATTAATAGGTACTGATTGAGTAGCCACTATAGTGCTGGGTACTGGGAAGTACTTACCTACTGAGGCGAACTTCTGTCTCTTAGGTTCCCAAAAACCACTGACAGTTGAGCAAACAATTGTACCAGTAGGACAGGAAAGGAGATTCTAGTACCTGAAGGACATTTTTGTTGCTAACTAGTCAGGAGTCAGTTAATGGCAAACATCTGAGAAGTCGGAGGTTGCTGCAGGCATGAAGCACAAAGACTCTGTAGTAGTGGATATGATGCCATTAAGCAACAGGAAGTTTGCATCCATGATTGTATAAGCAGCCAGTTGCCAAGCAAATGTCATTATGCATGTGCATGTACTGATCTCGGGAACATCAACATTCTGCATATACAGGGCGGTCTCAGAGAGTTAGCGCTCTTTGGGAGGCCATAGAGATGTGAAAAAAAATTTTTTTATGTCAAATAGAAAACAACATTTTTTCTCACCTACTCAAGTTACACAAACTCACATGTCAGGACAAAAAAAGGAGAGGGAAACAAGAGAAAATTGAGTGGTGTGAGACACATTTATGTTCCAGAAAAAAGGAACAGGTGAGTGTGTCCTGTTGAACACCTCTGAAAGCCATCACGTTTGTGCTTAAGATTGTTGAACTGGTGGAGGGATTGGTGAGGGAATATTGTATCTTTAATGCACAACTATAATTAACTTTGAAAATCACAGATACTTAAATGAAATTAATTTTACTGGGTAAACAAACGACCAAAAAACAAAATTAAAAAATAAGAGATAGTATATGGAACCGGACAGACAGTACAGCGGGTAAGGTGCTTGCCTTGCCCACAGCTGACCCAGCTGATCCTGGATACCCCTTATTGTCCCAAACGCACCAGGAGTAACCTGAGTGCAGCCAAAAATAAACCCCGAGCTCCGCTGGGTGTGGCCAAAACAACACCAATCCCCACACCCCCGATAAAAGAATATATGGTTTTCTCAAGTAACAAGTCTCACAATATTACTGGGCCCGCTTGAGCAAATTGATGAACAACAGGAGGACAGTGACAGTGACAAGTTTCTATCAAGACTATTAAATTTTTGTTAAAGGTAGTTATTTTTCATGCAAGGATTGAGTGGAGGGCATCTAGTACAATATAAGTACAATATTGTATAAATACAAGTATTGTATTTATACAATATTGTACTTGTATTATTAGAGCAATTATTTATATGCTCTACCTTAGAGCTATATCCCAGTCCATAGTTATTTTTAAATGCAAGTTAGAAGTTCTCTGTAAAGGAAAATGATTGATGTTAAGCAAAGAGGAAACCAACTAAGGCACTGTGAAAGGAAATGCTGGTCTCCAACAAACATGGTGCTTTTCTAGGCTGCGCCTATTAGAAACTTGCTGTTTAACGTCTTTACCTCAAGCTGCTCACTTCCTGACTATTCCATCCTCTGCTTATTATGGTATTCCATGTTATTAAACTTTGTCTAACATGCTGGATATGTAGTAAGTCATCCAATTAGTTTATACCTGTGATTATTTAACTGTTCTAATCCATATTGTTCCTGGAAAAAAGTCAATTAACCGAAGAATATTTTGTTGTTTCAGCTGGGGAGACGACTTATCTATCGTTCAAAGCCTCCTTCTGGTAACAAATCTGAGCTACTTTTAGTCAAGGACTCAAGAGGAAGAGCAATGCAGGAAGACTACTTTTTCTCCTGAGTTAAGAGCAGCAAGACATTTACCGTCAGAATGTTGAGCCATTATTTTGTAGATTTTTGTTTTCAGCAAGGGCAATACTCCGCCTGGATATTTAGGCCTAGTCAATTTGGGGAAGACAGGCTTTCATTTTCATTCTAAAGTTACAGGATTGGAAACAGGCACCTTTTATAATCCACATCCTATATATCACTCTGTATAGCTAAATATTATCTCCATTTTGAGTTGTCCCCATTGGAGACACATATCCCAAGTTGCCCGATTATTAATTTAATGGCAAAAAAAAAACCCCATTAAGCTGCAACAATAGCATTCTTAAAAGACTTTCAGTGATCTATTTTCAACCTGTTCTCAGAAAAGTTTCCACGCTTATATATCACTTATTGTGGAGTGTTCAGCATTATACAATTCAAAAATTATCTACATTCTGTTCAGAAAATTTATTTCTCAATAAACCATATATCTTCAGCTTAAAAGTAAATTCATATTTCTGCTGTGTTCTCTAGTCAACATTGTCAGATGACATTTTAATTTTAACTATAATGGGCACTTAGTTGACATGACAAAATTGCATAATATACTTCACTTACAAGTATGAAATCTATGAAGAAAATATGTAGCTTTATATATGTTAAAAGTGTCTCAAAAATAACTTTAACATAGTTTTGTAAGAAAAATATCAACAGAATCCAGGAACAGGTAAGAGAGCTCAAGGGACTGAGAACATGCCCAGGAAGCCCAGTTCAACCCCTGGTACCAGAGCTTCAATAAGTCAATGAAAAACTCAAATTAAAAAGTTGCTCTAGAAAGTCTCTGGTAACTTATAAGAGCTGAAATTCATGTTTATTTGAACACTTCAAAGAACAGAAATAATGTCTCCTTATAGACCAAGAATATGGGCCTTATAAATAAAACCAACTTGAGAACTGAAATTTACATATTAAGATCTGAGTAAGAAGAGTTCACAATCACACTGAAAAACAAACAAATTTTTATTGTCTAGAAATATATATAAAAAAAAAAGTCCCCCAAAAGACATTATTCTCTCATTTCCCCATCTTCTTCCTCTTCTTCAACACCTCTGATATAAAGGACATTATTACACCTGTAAATAGAAAAACAATCTTTATGTTTTTCCAAGTGGAAACTACATAAGATATGAATCACTATCACTAGACTTGTTCATTATAACGAATGCTAAACATATAATTTCTTTCTCTTATAAAGTCATCTGTGTCAGAAAAAAATGCTGATTTTTCCCCCCGTGTTTGTTACAAATGGTTTCCTTTACACTCATTCTAAAGGGAAAAATGACAAAAACATTTCAAGATGTAAAGCTAGATCTAAAAAATAAGTATAACAAAAATCCCTAATAATAATAAAAATGAATCAAACTAAAATAAATTTCAAAACTAAAAATTACTGGAAAAGGTTATGGTTCATAGGCAGAAAGTTTATAATCAAAACTAGAAAAATCTTAAGAATAAATTGCTCCAAAATAGTTAAATCTTCTTTAAGGGCAAAAGCGACAGTACAGCAGACAGGGCATTTGCCTTGCATGTCACCAACCTGGGTTTGATTCCTACCCGCTTTCTTCCCCCTCCCAAACCTCATACGGCCCACTTAGAATCAGGAGAAATCCCTGAGCATAGAGCCAGGAGTAAGTGCTGAACACTGCTGGGTGTGACCCAAAAAGCAAAATCAAACAACAAACTTCTTTGACAAGATTAACAAGAACTTCATGAAGTCTAGCTGTAGATAGTTATGTTAAATCAAGTGATCAGAAAATTAAAAAATAGTCACTAATTAGCTTATTTAAGCAGGTTTATAACACTTGGCACTAACTCTATATATATGAATATTACTGCTATTTTGTTACCTTATCAAAACTTCACCCAGATGTCCAGACAATGCTCCATCTATGTATTCTTCTGTATTTGCAAGCTTTAAATTAAAAACAAAAAGTATACTCATTCAGGAGGAAAACACACTAGTAAGAGAAGTTATTACTAATAACTAGGACTTTTCTATACCAAAACTCTTATTTATCAATAATTCAGAGTGAGAAGATAAGCTATTACTATGCTATGCACTTAAGAGATTTCATATAAATCCGGTCAAGGTTCACACTGATGGCTATAGAATTAATATATAATAAAGCTCACTTTAAAATTTTTATACCTGTCAACTACAAAGTATTTCTTTCTTTAACTGGGTTTGGGGCCACACCCAGCTGTGGTCAGGGGCTTAGTCCAGAATCTATACTCGGGGATCACAACAGCAGGCTTCAAGGTACCATACGTGGTGCCAGGAATCAAATTATGTCAGTTACATGTGCCTGACCAGTAAGATAAGCACCTTATGTGGGGGACTATTGCTCAATTCCATCAGCAAAATAGTATTTTTGTTAGAAATAAAAACAATGAGTCAAGGAAGATAGTCTCCAACTTATGAATAAGTTGATATTAAAACATGTTATGAAACTTCAGTTAATAAGAATTATATCAGAATAATGTATCATACATTTAAATAAATATAGAAACTACTGCTAAAATATCAATTCTCATACCAGATAACAACCAAAGAACTGATCGAGGTTTTTTAAATTATGTGCTCATGAAAGCATAAAACATGTTCCTATGAGGTTAAACAAAAGTTATCAGTTATTTCAAGAAACTATTTCTACATTTTCCAATGTAGAACTTCACATACAGTTCTAAAATCATAATCAGGAATATCTGGTATTCACAAGGGAGATGAAAAGGAGAGAAGGGAGAGAAGAAAGTTTCCTTCATTAATTTTTCAAGGGGCAAAGGAAAAGAAAAAAATGTACGGAGGATGCTGTAAGACATTTCAAATATAATAATGTTACTGAACATTCATCTCTCTCCTAAGCAGAACAAAAAGTAACCCCTATGCCCAGAGAATATGAAACATTATGTGATCGTTTTAACATTTAGTTTTATAGGTTAAGAGCTCAGAAATAATGTATAAGAGCAAATAATTTTTTCAGAAGGCTTACTAGGAAGTTAAATTATAAATATCTGGTGAGTTAATTTTTTTCTTTCAATATGAAATATAATGCCTATAAAATTCATTCTTTCAACTACACAGATGTACGGTTTTTAGTATATTTGGAAAATGATGTTACCAGTACCACTATCTAACCCCAAACATATTTAGCACATTTTCATATTTCTGCCTGAAAAATTTTGCAGGCCCAAACCATTCTGTGTAAAAACTTAGGGAGCCACCTGTTCAAGTGATGTTATTAAAAAAACAACAACAAAAACCTCACCATTCTTGATAAGTATTCCTATCAGCAGTCTGTCTATAAGCATAACCAGTAAGGAATATTCAGAATCACAGGTGACCTGTATAAATATCCTTTAACTTTATCCATCTGCGATTTATCAGATACACAAATTTTACCTCCATTTCAAAAAATGTATAATTGATTCTTTAAAAAAAAAAAGGTCAGAAACCATTACAACTACAAAGAGAGGAAAAAAGGGAAACTGCACAAACTGCACAAACAACAGAAGGATGACAGACATTTTCCCTAAAATTATATGTAAATAGCCAATAAGAACATGGAAGTTGGTCAAATCTCTAAACAGGGAAATGAAAATCCAAGCAAAGTGAACACATCATATCAACAGCTGTGCTTTTATAAGAAAAAAGTGTTGGTGAGGATGAAGAGGAACTGGATCCCTTCTGTATTGCTGGTAGTACTGTAGCACTGTCCTCCAGTTGTTCATCGATTTGCTCGAGTGGGCCCAGTAAAGTCTCCGTTGTGAGACTTGTTACTGTTTTGGGGCATATCAAATATATCATGGATAGCTTGCCAGGCTTTGCCGTGCAGGAGGGATACTCTCGGTAGCTTGCTGGGCTCTCCAAGAGGGGCGGAGGAATCAAACCCCGGTCAGCTGTGTGCAAGGCAAACGCCCTATCCACTGTGCTATCGCTCCAGCCCCTGTATTGCTGGTACAAAGTGAAATCGTACAACTGCTGTGGGAAAAAGTATGGCAATTCTTCAAAAAAGTCTATGGCCCAGCAATTTCATTTCTATATATGCACTGTAGCACTGTCCTCCCATTGTTCATCGATTTGCTTGGGCGGGCACCGGTAACATCTCCATTGTGAGACTTGTTACTGTTTTTGGCATATTGAATAAGTCACGGGTAGCTTGCCAGGCTTTGCCATGCAGGCAGGATATTCTTTGAAGCTCATTTCTATATATACAACCAGAAAAACTTAAAGCCAAGACTCATATATGTATACCCATGTTCATATTCATAGTAGCTTTATTCAGAATAGCCAAAAGATAGAAACATGTATACCAATGGAATAGATCCAAAAAATACATAAACACAGATATAATTGTTTAGCCATAAAAAAATATGAAAATTCTGACGAATGCTACAACATAAAACTTGAAAAAGTAAATACAAAAAAGTACTGTTTTGAATTAAGTCGGATGTAGTTTGTGTCCAGACAAATACTGTCTGGGTCCATTTAATATTCAGAATAGAGACCTGAACCAGAGCAGAGGTCACTTGCTTAATGGATCCAGGGTCACTTGGCAATGAAGAATTTTGGAAAAAGATAATGGCAAGTATAATGTACACAATGTAACCATAACATATATGAGAGAGAGAGAGAGAGAGAGAGAGAGAGAGAGAGAGAGAAAAGAATATACATATACTTCAGCAGAAGTTCACTTGTGGTTGAATTCTGGTTGGACCCCATGTCTATAAGAATGGCCTTCACCGACTTGACTTTATTTCTGAATTTTTGCTTTCTTGTCAATTTAATATACTCTTACGTTTTCTAAATGTTTAATGAATCAAGTACAGAAAGGTATACCCGAGTTCCCGGCCATGGCTTACCTGCATGTTCATATAGCCATCTACAGACACCAGGTAGCCCTTGTACTCCATTCCCCACTTAAGTTTCACCATGACTGGCTTTCCTGTTAATCCATTGAGGAAAGGCTTGGGGTTGAGGGGTAAACTCTGCACAAAGAACAACAAGGGGAGCAATCGGTTAAGTTTTCTTGCCCAGGTTTCTACCACCTTCTCTACCCCAACAGATCACTGGCATTCCACTGCATAAGAATGAGGTGGCCTCTGGACTCCTACACAATCTTCACTTTCAACTGAATGAGCAGTATGAGAAAAACAGAAATACATAAGCGGCCAATTTCGTCTTCAACTCTGAAAACTTTAAAAGATATAGGCCAAAGTGACAGGACTCAGGTGGGGGCGCTTGTCTGGCATGCAACCAACCTGGCTTCAACTCCCAGCAACAAATATGGTCCTCCAAGCCTAGCCAGGAGTCATCCCTTAGTGCAGAGCCAGCAGTAAGCCCTGAGCACAGCCCCCCCAAAACAAACTAAATAAAAACTTTGAAAGTATTGCCACTCACTTCAGAGGCTCTCAAATACATAATTATTCATCACTGTCCCAGGCTATATATTATATATATATATTTTTTTAAAAAAAACATAGGTATAGGCAGTTTTTTTTAAAAAATGTAATTGACAATTCCTGTCCTTCAAGAAGCCCACAAAGGAGGAACAGCAAATCACTTCAAATACTCCTCTGTAGTAGCGGCGATATGCTATGTACAAGGGTACCAAAGTAACCAAGGGTTGAGTTGGAAAAACTGCTGAATAAAGTAGTGCCTTTATCTGAGAGATTATTTTCCAGAGTGGAAAGGGTTTACCCAGGCAGAGATATAAGGCTTGTAAGTAGTTAAAAAAAAAAAGGGGTGGGGGGGAGTAAGCAACAGGTAGTATCTCAGGGCATACAAACACTTCATTAAAATCAAGATCCCTGGCTAGAAGGCTAGATGAGGCCGAGCACACTGGACTGTCTTGCACAGAAATGCCAGGCACTGGATAGGGTCCCGGCTTATCCGATCTAGCAAAACTACTGAGAATCGATCACCAAGAAACGTAGCTGGTAAACCCCGCCACCCCCAGTCTGTATGTTTAGGGTCATCTCTGGAAGAGCCAGCGACGCCAGGAACTACCTCCTTCTAGGTCTCCAGCTTCCCATCCCATCACCTCCTTCTAGGTATCCAGCATCCCAGACCATCAGCTCCTTCTAGGTCTCCAGGTTCCCATCCCGTTACCTCCTTTTAGGTCTCCAGCTTCCTATCCCATTCCTCTCCAAATTATCCTGCATAAAGCAGCGTTCCCTTTTTTTTTTGCAGCGCACACTACGCATAAAATACTTCGCTCTTGCCAAATGCACTTGGGACGCTGTGTGTGTGCGCGCGCGCATTTGTGTGTGTGTGTGTGTGTGTGTGTGTGTGTGTGTGTGTGTGGTGGTGGGGGGGGGGTGTCCTCAGAGGTCTCCCAACCCGTTCTCATAAACCACAGGCTCTATTCGCCAACAGAACCCTGGCTTTCCATCAATCCCGCCCCCGGTCCCTGCACCCATGCACTCGGTTCAATTGATCACAGCGACACCCTCCCCCGGCACTTCCCATCGCCCATCACCATAGACGTCTGGCTGCTAAATTAACCTCGAGAGCACGGTCCGCCGGGCTCCCGCTCGCTCTTTTTAATTTTTTTTCTTCTGTACCATTTATTATTCCCAGCGTCCGGCACAAGACCTCTCAGGAAGTATGCGCTCGACACACAGCTGCTCAGGGCACCAACGCGCCCGATGCGCCCAAGGCCGGATTCTATTCCGCCGGGCTTCGGGCTCCGACAACGGAACACGCTAACGGGGTTGATCTCGATACCTCCTTGCGATCAAGACCCAAACGGAGCCCAGAGAAGAGGGCACTCCTGCAGAGGGAGGGAGGAGGGGGGAGGTGCATTGCAAAGGGCGCGCGCCTCGACAACCCCAAGCCCCCCAAGCAGCGAAAGGCAGGCCGGCGAGCCCGTGCGCGACTCCTCGCGCGGATGAATGAGAAGCGCGCGAACCAGGCTGGCTGAAACTGGCCGCCCTCCCTTACTCTCTCTCTCTCTCTACGGCGACCTGGACGTCCCCCGCCTCCTTACCATTGCGACTACGGGCGGATGCTGCAGGCCACTCGCCGCCGACCCAGCGGTCGTCTGTCCCTCGTGACTGCACTAGCGACTTCAGGGCCCGAAGCACGGAGCAGCGAGAGAAATGGCCGCCTCCAAGAAGCGTGACCTTTCACCTTCGACCACCGCTCTTCTGGCGCCTGTGATTGGACGCAAAGAGATGCGAGCCGATTGGACGAGGTGGCGAGGCGGTCTCCTAGCAACGAGAGGCGCGGCGCGGTTGTGTGCGTTCGAACGCCTTCCGAGGCTGAAAGGTGCTGCAGTTACCGAATGCGGAGGTTTTCCTCCAACTTGGTTTAGAGGGGCGTTCCGTCTTTTTCATTGTGCTTTTATATTGTGAAGACGAATTCGGGGCTGTGGAGTTTATTCTACCTTGCTTCCACGCAGAGTGTGTGTGTGTGTGTGTGTGTGGTGTGTGTATGTGGTGTGTGTGTGTGTGTGTGTGTGTGTGTGTGTGTGTGTGTGTGTGTGTGTGTGTGTGTGTTGGTGAAGGTTGTATTTATTTGTTGAGGGAATAGGTCCTCTGGCATAGCGTTCTCTGTTCCGTAAAGCTCATATCAACCCGCTTTCATTCAAGTGAGTGAGAGTGACGAGACTAGACTAAGGTAGATGAAGCGCACCCAAGAAGGTCAAGCACAGGGCAGATTTCAGAATGAGGTCCCATGGTGGTGTCCACCCTTCCAACTGTGCCTTTTGCATTGCCCACAGGGATCCTGCGGCCGCCTATCTTTGTTTGTTTGTTTGTTTTTATAGCACGCATTGGTGATGTGCATTGAAATTAAGGATGGGAATCGGGAGGCCAGTCGAGAATCGATTCTTCTGAGGTCACTAAAGGCCTGGTTTTCAAGTCGTCTGCTTCCTCCTGGAGCAGATGCTCACCTCGCTCCCCAGCTGAAACCCTAGCAGAATGCATCCTTTTTTTGGGCCTAGCTGGGTTGTTGTTTATTGGGGCTGCTGCCTAGTAAGTGAGTGTGGATCTGAGGCTCAATTGTTGCTTTTTTTTTTTCTGTCATAATGAAGCACTGGGTTCGACTAGGGCGCTCCTTCAGGGTTAGAACCTCCATGGGGTCTTGGGCATGGTGTTCAGCAGTTTCTTGGCCCCCAAGACCTTTGTTTCCTAGGTTGATTGCGCGTGCTCTGTCTCTGTCTCTCTCTGTCTCTCTGTGTCTCTGTCTCTCTCTCTCTCTTTCCCCCCCTCTCCCTTCCTCCTCTCCCCCTTTCCCTTCCTTCCTCCCCTCAGGAGATAGGGTAGGAGATAAGGAAAGCACATTACCCACTATACTACCTTCTCCTTTGGGCTTTCACTGTTACAGATTATGAGAGAAGCTGAACCGTGTGGATATATCCAGGTCTGAAGATTCAGTCGTCATTAACTATGTTGTTTTATTGTCTATGTAGAAGTGGAAGAACCTAACATAACTTTGCTTTAGTGATGGGTCAGTGTAGTTTTCAGTGCCATTTTGCTTTTGCTGCAGTACAATCACTGGGATTATTGACCCCCAGCACCATGAATTTTTCTTGAACTGCCAGGATCATTTAATGATCATTTAATACTTAGCCCTCATACAGACATTGGGATTCCTACTAGGTGCCAGGCTTCTTTATTTTTATTTACTTTTTTTTTTTTTTTTGCTTTTTGGGTCACACCCAGTGATGCACAGGGGTTACTCCTGGCTCTGCACTCAGGAATTACTTCTGGCCGTGATTACTCAGGGATTACTCTTCACTCGCTACCTGTCTGAATGCAAGGTTCCATCTCAATGGAAAACCAGCAGGACCGTACTACTGTTCAAGAAGGGAGACATCCATGACATTGGCAACTATCGCCCGATCTGCCTATTGTCTGTCATCTACAAGTTGTTCACTCGAGTCATCCTGAATAGGATTGGCAGAACACTAGATGAAGGACAACCATGTGAGCAAGCAGGGTTCCGCAAAGGATTCAGCACCATCGACCATATCCACACGATAACCAAACTCATTGAGGTTTCTCGGGAGTTCAAGATGCCGCTCTGCTTAACGTTCATTGATTTAAAGAACGTTCATTGATTCTGTTGAGACGGAAGCGGTCATTGAAGCCCTAGCCAATCAGGGCATTCAAGCCCAATACATCAGGATCCTCCGTGAGCTGTATTGCGGATTCACTACCAGGATCTCACCATTCTACAAAGAAGTGATCGTTGATGTCAAGAGAGGGTTGCGGCAGGGTGATACCATTTCACCAAAACTCTTCAGTGCCACCCTCGAGAACATCATGCGACGACTGGAATGGGAAGGAATGGGAGTGAAGATAGATGGTCGGCAACTACACCACCTCCGCTTTGCTGATGACATTGTTTTAATAACACCAAACATCAGCCAAGCGGCACAAATGCTGGCCGACTTTGACCGTGAGTGTGGAAAGGTAGGACTACAGCTGAATCTTACGAAGACAATGTTTATGAGAAACAGCCTTGTTCCTGACACCCCATTCGCTCTCAATGGAACGACCATCTCCGAATGCAACAGCTATGTGTACCTAGGTCGAGAGGTCAACATGACAAATGACCTGGCACTCGAGCTGCGCAGGAGGAAGAGAGCGGCTTGGAACGCCTTCAAGAACGTCGAAGAAATAGCTAAGAGGACGAAGAACCTCCGGCTCCGGGCACATCTCTTTGATTCCACTGTTCTTCCTGCATTAACATATGCCTCAGAGACCTGGGCCCTACGCAAACAAGATGAGAACGCCATTCAGGTCTCCCAAAGAAGAATAGAAAGAGCTATGCTTGGAATATCACGTTTCACTCAAATGAGAGAACGAATCCGGAGCTCTGACATCCGTCGACGATCAAGGATCAGGGACGCTGTCTCATTTGCCAAGGTGTCGAAAATCAGATGGGCTGGTCACGTAATGAGATTTAAAGACGACCGTTGGACTAGAGCTGTTACTGATTGGATTCCACGGGATGTCAAGAGACCGCGTGGCCGCCCACCTACCAGATGGTCAGACTTCTTTGTCAAGGTCATGAACGATCGGTTTGAGGCCCTCCATGTTCCCGGAGCAAAGAGATGCCATTGGGCTACACTAGCACGCGACAGGGACAAATGGAGACGTTACTGGCGCCCGCTCGAGCAAATCGACGACTAACGGGAAGTTAAGTGATTAAGTGATTAAGTGACTCAGGGGACCACATGGGATGCTGGGAATCGAACCTGGGTTGACCACATGCAAGGCAAAAGCCCTACCCACTGTGCTCTCGCTCCAGCCCTGCCAGACTTCTTTACACCATGATTTAGAATACTGCTAATGATGGGGTTTCATACATATAATGTTCCAACACCACACACTCAACCACAATTTCCACTTCCCTCCACTGTTGTCTCTGGGTCCCCTCCTACCCACCAATACTCCCCTACTCTTGGTAATATCCATTCTATAGACTAGTTCTCAGAATCTATTATCCTTATCCACTTGTCATTCCTTTATTGTACTTTGTATCACACGTATGAGAGAGATCATTCTGTATCAATCCCTCTCTGGCTGACTGATGCCATTAAGCATGGTACCCTCCAATTCCATCCACATAGGAGCAAATTTAATAATTTTGTTTTTGCTGATAGCAGAGTAGCATTCCATTGTACATATGCTCTACAATTTCTTCATTCACTCATCTATTCTTGCACATTTGGGTTGTTTCCCTATTGTGAGCAGTGTTGCAATGGATATGGGAGCACAAATGTCTTTTGAATAGTTAGCTTTTAGCTCTTGTGAACCCTGTTTTTCAGTAATTCTGGCTTTACATTTTTTAAACGTCACATAATATTTTCAACCCCATTTTTACAAAAAGGAAAAAGAAAATTGTATGTAGCCAACCCAGGTTTCATTCCTGGCACCACACATAGTTCCCCAAACCTACCAGGATTGATTTCTTGAGTAGAGAGTCAGGAGTAAACTCTGACTACTGCTGGGTGTGGTCCAAAAACATCAACAAAAAATTTAACATAAAATCTGTGCAACTAGGGGCTGGAGCAATGGTATAGCGGGTAGGGCATTTGCCTCGCATGTGGCCGACCCAGTTTTGATTCCCAGCATCCCATGTGGTCCCCCCATAAATCCCATATGGTCCCCCGAGCACTTCCAGGGATAATTCCTGAGTACATGAACCAGGAGTAACCGCTGTGCATCTCTGGGTGTGACCCAAAAAGTAAAAAAAAAAAAAGTTGTGCAACTACGAAGCAATACAAAGCCACATTTCTTGTCTTCTGCATTATTCTAAAAATGATTTGTAATAACTTATAAAACATAACATGAAAGCTATTATAAAATAATGAAGGATGAAGAGAAAATAATAAAACCAGAGATAATATTAGAATAAAGTGCAGAAACCTATACTATGTGGCCTTATGCACGGATTAAGAAGGGCTGAACATTTTTTTTTTAAGCTTTACAAAGTCCTAGCAAGGTTAGAAATAAAATTGCTTACGTGACTAACAGTTTCCATGATGTTATTTTAGTCATTCAGAAAAACCACAATATTTGTTACTTTAGTCTGAGAAAAATTCCTCCCCTGGTGCCAACCCATGGTCCTTATAAACCAGACCCTGAGGGAAAATGGAAGTGCAAATGTTTTCTTGGCAGGAGCAATCCAGGGCAACAAGAATGAAGCAAAAGGGTAAGAAGGGGGAGTTAAAAAGCAAGTGCTGAGGTGTAAGTTTGAACTGGTTACTGCTTCATAGAAATCCAATTGTTTGGCCTTCTGGGATAGCTCTGCTCAGACGTTCCTTCACTTTCTAGAAATATCCCTCTTATTGTACTGTCCCATCAGAGAGAGACATTGACGGAACATTTATCTGCAGCTTTCATTATATTTCCTGACTCACTTAGTTCACTCACCAAGTGCCCCTGTGGGAAGCATTGAGACAAAGCTGGGGAAATCTGGTCCCAGGCCTCAGGCCTCATTGAAGGGTGCTGGGCTTTTAGGAGAGACAGCAGGACTCCAGGTGCTGTATTCAACTGGTCCATGGGGGGAGAGACAGGACTTAATGAGGTGCTGAGCTTGAAGAAATATGAGCTGACATGTAAGATTTGTTCTTGTGCTTATGGTTATATTAAAAGAACAGGCGCTGGAGTGATAG